CTAGAGGTGGAAGGGACCCCAGAGGCCATCCAGTCCAACCCTCTCATTTTACAGAGGAAACTGAGGTCCAGACATGCCCAAGGTCACACAGGTAAGCTTCAGAGGCAGGATTCAAACTCAAGTCCTCTTGCTCTGGAGACAAGTATTCTTTCCATTGTACCATGCTGTCCATTTCTGTTTTTTTTTAATTTTTTAAATTTAAATTTAATTTTTATTTATTTATTTATTTATTTATTTTAGGCAATTGGGGTTAAGTGACTTGCCCAGAGTCACACAGCTAGTAAGTGTCAAGTGTTTGGTCAGAGGCCGGATTTGAACTCAGGTACTCCTGACTTCAGGGCAGGTGCTCTATCCACCACGCCACCTAGCTGCCCCTTGTCCATTTCTAAATGTAAATGTAAAGCAGATGCATTGATTTCTGCTGTGTGGATTATACTTTGGGTTGGACCTACTCAGCCCTATTTCTTGCTCTAAAATCTGGGTGCTGTGTAAAGATTCTGTGCAGTAGAAGGCGATGTGTCTGAAGAAGCACATGAACCCAGGTCTTCCTGATTCCTAGTTCAGTGCTCTATCCTTGAAAACAGGGACTTTTTTCTTTCCGTTTCATTCCTAGCACTAACACAGTGCTTGGCATATAGTTGGTGCTTAATAAATGCTTTTTAAAAAATGATCCCCTACACTCTCATGTAGGGAGATCTTGATGTGGAACTCCCTCCACCAGTGCAGGTTGGCACCTTCTTTCCAATATGGTCTTTGAGTTTCCTGGGACATTGAGTGATTGAACCAGATTGAACCCAGATTGAACCCAGAATCCCACAGCTATTATGTGTGAGAGATTGTTCTACCTCTGATAACGATTATTTATAATAAATAAACTGTTTCACCTCTATTTTCCTCATCTTAAAATTGTACATAATATATACTGGCTCTCCAGATGTAATATAAATTAATGAGTCAATTATCTATTTTAGGGACTGTCCACTAAACTCCTCCTCCACTGCCTCAGTGTGTGTGTAGAGGTCAAACACTGACCTTGGCTAAGCTCAGAGAGGCAACTAGGTGGCCCAGTGGGTAGAGCGCTGGGGTTGGAGTCAGAAAGACCTGAGTTCAAATACGACTTCAGATAATTCCTAGCTGGATGAAGCTGGGCAAATTACTTAACCTCTCTTTGCCTCAGTTTCCTCAGCTGCAAAATGGGAATAATAGTAGTACCTACCTCCCATGTTGTTGTGAGGATCAACTGAGATAATATTGGCAAAAAAGAGCTTAGTGCTATGCCTGAGGCATATGCTGGCTTCCATCCTTCCTCATCTCCGGAAGAGTGCTCACCCAGTAATGAGTTTTGGGGGGGGGGGTTGTTTGTTTTGTTTTTTGTTTTTGTTTTTACCACAAAAAATCATGAAATCACTCAGTGATTGATGGAGGCACTATGGTGGTCAGTGGTGGATATATCCCTCATGATGAAATTGGAGATCTTTTGAGGCACTGAATTATGTTTTAGGAAAGCTCCTAGTTCTAAAAACAGTAATATTTCATTGCTTAATGTGATATTATCCTGAGCTTCTGGGTGTTCCCCATCATATTTATAATACATCCAGCAGTTTCTATTGCATCTATGTGCACACTGTAAAATAAGAAAATATACAAAGTGCTTTGTAAACTTTAAAACTCTGCATACTAGCTATTAATTATATTACATGAGGCAGGACAGCTGCCACATAAAAGTGATGTGAGCAGCCGCCAATGTAGCCTTGTTTTGGGAGCACTGAAAGGTTGGTCTGCTGAAAATATGCCCCTTGGGAAGCAGCAAGATACAAGAAACAAACACTGGTTCTGAGATAAGAGGACTGGGTTCGAATCCTGAGTCTGCCAGTAATTATCTTTGTGATCTTGGACAAATTGATTTTCCTTCATTCTGGGTCTGAGTTTCCTCATCAGTAAAATGAGGAAGTTGGGTCTAGCCGGCCTCTGAGGCCGGCTGTAGAGCTAGGCTCCTGTGAGCCCCCTGTAGCCAACCTTTGAGTTAAAGCACAGCCTCTCCAACACTCCTGTTAAAGTTCTGATACATTAATTAGTACATTAACCATGATCATTCAGTATCATTTTAGAGGGTAATAAGGCCCCGAGGAAGGGATTCAGGGCAAATGAATTTAGGTGGAGCAGAGCTAAAACGGTCAGGGAAGATTAAGAGCATGTAGGCCTGCGGTGGATAGCTGGACAGCAGCTGGAAGGCCCTGCATGCTGACACCTAATAGCAGAAACATTGAAAGGGAAAGGCATTGAAAGAGAAAGTGGGACATTCACCAAAGACATTTTTGCCTGCTTCAAAGTCTTGCCTAGGGCAGGACTTCCGAGACAGAAATAAGAGAGGAAGCTGCTCTTATTCTGTTCAGCTGGAGGCAAGCAAAGGACTAGATGGGATGTAGTTATGTTGAAGCACCTGTCTCTCCCGCAGTTGGCTCACTCACTACATCCCCCATCATACACTCAGCTATGGACAGGCCCATTTTTCTGACTTATGTAATCAGATGGTTGGAAGTGATTTTCCTCATTTCTTCAATGGGCGTTGGAAATCAGAATTAATTATGATTGCGAAGTGCTGCGTAAGGACCAACTATTTCCCCCATTCTGGCTTTTTTCCTTAGGAGGCAGCCTCCAGAATTTAGAAAAAACATATACACCATCTTTTTCAAAATAATTACATCTGATATCTTGCCACTGACCCACTTAAGGCAGAAGACAAATCCAGCCCCTGCATTATTTAATTAAACATGGTCAGCATTTTCAGATGAATGGCACTGAGAAATAAAGATGCAATCTAAGCAGAAATGTGGTCCAACTAACCTTTGAGCTTTCTGCCCTCCCCCCCATTCTTAAATTTAACTTGCTGTCTTTTGTTTTATTTCAAAATGTAAAATTTTGTAGGAATGAAAAATTATTTAAAAATACCTCCCCCAGAAACTTAAGTGATATCCCCTAATTAGTCCAAATATCCTACTTTACCTACCTATTTTATTTTTTGGTCTGAATCTGTGATTTCATCAGTGTGTAAATTTACTCCATGACTGGATCTCCAAGTTAACCGCAACTTCATCTTTGGGAATTGCTTGAGGGAACTGAAAGCTTAAGGATGCCACCATTAGTATGTGTCAGAGGCAGGACTAGACCCCAGGTCTTCCTGACTGCAAGGCTAATCCTCTATCTGCTCAGTCATGTTGTCACTCTTTTTTTATATTCTATTATTTTTTACAACTAATTAACTAATTTGAGGGTTTACATTTTGTTTTGATGCAAATGCTTCCCAGCACCTATGTAAACTCACTGACAAAATGCATTCCTCAAAAGGTTAAACAAAATTGCCTAATAGTGTGATTGTAGCTGCTGGTACATTTCACTTTCCACCTTTGTCTCTTGCCAATTATCAGAAAGGAAGAGTTGTTAACATAGAGGCAGTGTGGTATAATGGATATAGAGTCAGGAAACCTGAATTCAGGCTCTGCTTCTGTCGCATACTGGATGTAACCTTATCAGAGGAGGAGAGGTCCATCTGCTTTAACAGTGGAAACTTTCTCCTTGTGAGTGAAATATATCAGTGAAAACAGTGAAAAAATAAAGTCAGAAGGGAAGACTATAATACTCTTTTTAGATAGCCACAAGGATTTCAGCACAATATCCTGGACTATGTCTATAAGTAAATTCACTATTTATGCAGCTTGATTTTTCTAATCAACGATACTAGAATTTTCGCATTAATCTCCATCCCTCCCCTCTCCTCTTCCTTCCCCTCCCTCCTTTCCACAACCTCTGTCCTCTCCCCTTCCTTTCCCTACTCCCTCCCCACTATCCTCTCCTTTTCCCCTTCCTTCTCTTCCCACTTTTCCTCTTTCTTCTCTTTTCCCTTCTCCTCTCTCCCCTCTCCCCTTCCCCCACCCCATTGAATTTACAAAGAGTATGTCTCAATTAAAACAAACATGTTACAGATGGTTGACTATAAGGGAAAATAGTCTGGAAAGCAGCTTAATCTTGATGCAAGTAAATTCATGTCTTCTCTTTCTGGTCATCTGATTTTAGAGGAACTTTGTGTTGAAAATCATCATAATTATTTTCAATTAAATTAAATTCAACAAGCATTTATTAAGTGTCCAACACACTGGGGATACAAAGAAAACAACAAAAACAGAAGAGACTTTGCCCTCAAGTGGCTTACATCCTATTGGAAGGATACTTTTGAGTATATATCCAGTTTTATATACATATGATAATTTGAGGAAGGAGAAATCACTGAGAAATAGAGGAATCTAGAAAATTTTCCTGTAGGAAGCTGCTGAGCTAATCTCTGAAGGAAAACAAGTGTTCCAAGAGATAGAGATGAGAAGGGAGTACATTCCAAGTCTTGGGGACAGCTTGTGCCAATGGTCAGAGGTAAGAGAGATGGGATGTCAGGTCCTGGGAACATCCAGTAATTCAATTTCGTTGGAATATAGAATATGTTAAGGGAAATAAAAAGAAATATGTCTAGAACAGTATAGTAGCCTCCCAAACTTGATTCCACTTCATTTAGTTGGGGGGGGGAGTGGAGAAAGCATCTTCACCAGTGGTTCATGGAAGGCTAGGGGATTTTTCAGGATTAGAGTGTGGTGGGTGTGTGTGTGTGTGTGTGTGTGTGTGTGTGTGTGTGTGTGTGTGTGTCTGTGTGTGTCTGTGTTGACAGGCTTAGAATACTTAGGTATTGAAATTATTTAAAACCTTTATGATTTTAAATTTCCCATATTACTGCAGGGAGAAAAGAAACCCTTGGGATGCTTGTTTAAGGAGCTGTTAGTCAGAAGGGCACTTTAAGAGAGAAATGTGTCAGCAGTATCTGTTTGCAAGGCTGGATACTATGGATTAAATGCTTTCAGGAATCCTCCTTGTGTAACAGTTCTCTCTTGAGTGGGACTGAAGTTTGATAAGTGAAACCTTTAGGGTATTAACAGCTTTCCACCTTCTTTTTGCTACAGCCCAGAAGATGGTGAGATACATCCAGAAATCTGCAGGCTTTACATCCAGTTGCAGTGTTGCTTAGAAATGTACACCACCGAGATGCTAAAATCCATATGTCTGCTAGGATCTCTTCAGTTTCATCGGAAAGGTATCTCGTTTCACAAATTGCCAGAAATGCAGATGAATTTGTTATTAAAGTACAAACCATCCATATGCAGCATTATTTGAGCTCTTAGGCCCTGTATATGGTGATAGAGTGCAAAAATCCAAAAAGTAGGAATAATTATTGGGCTTTATTCTCCCACCACCAAGCATATAGACACAGAGACACAACCCCATAGCTCCATGAAACATTTCAGAGACCTTTTAGAGGTAGGTGTGCCATTTTCCAGAATGGTTTATATCATTTTGGGGTAAATGACATGCCTATGACACAAAAAGCAATAAAATGAGGAGTGGTAGTTAAGAGAAAATGTGGAAGATTCAGCCATTCATTCATTCATATACTTGACAAGTATTTGAGGACATTTAAATGTAAAATAATGCAAAGCATTGATAAAAATTACAAGAAATGTACCCCTTGATCATACCTTCCACACAAAAAGCTAACCTCAGGTTCAACTCATATTTTGGGTCAGCATCCACTCACCTACACGGATACATCTTCCCATGGAGTCATATACCACCAGTGGGTATGGAAATATGAAATACGCAACTAGGGACATTCTTGGAAGAGGGCATGTGGACAAAGTGCGGTTCAGTGGCAAGAACACTGGGATTAGATCCAGGAGAATTTGGTTTTGCTACTTACTATCTGTGTGACCTTGGTCAAGCTGCTTAACTTTTCTGGTCTTTAAAATAAGGATGTTGGACTAAAGGACTCTAAAGTCCTTACTAGCTTGAAGACTATGGTCCTAACCAAAGCAAGTCATGTTTGTAGGGGAGCAGCCCAGCTGAAACCTGTCCCTTGTGACACCCACTTCAGGGCCGCAGAGATAATCAACTGTTCTAGTGAACTCAGTAAATGATGTGCTACCATGCTACAACTTGGGTGTGTCTGCCCGTGGGCTATTCTCTATTGTGCTGCTTCATATAAATCAAATTTTCAAGGGGAAAATGGACTCTAACATGAAGAATGAGTAATTCTTCCTCCTGGGACCTACTGGCCCTTTCCCATTTCCCCTGATTGCGACTTCTTGCTGGTTGGAGAGAATGTACTTCCCAGATGCTACATTTTCAATTCTCTTGGTTAGGCTGCTGTCTTAAAATCTTAGGCAGTACCCGCATAGCCCTTCCCCCATAGCTACACCTATCCAGTTTTCAAAAAGCCAGCCCAGGTCATTAGGCTATTTTTTAAAACTACTTTCTTTCTGCCTTAGCCTACATTAGACTCAATCTGCTCTTTGAGGTTACATTGAGAACATTCTCTTTGAGACTCCTTTCAACTATTGTCATGCCTCTGGTTGCTGCCCAGGGGTCATGGGTCAGCTCTAGAATTTTACTGAACAAGACTGCAGAGGCAGGTGGAGTTAGTGACTTCTTGGTCTGCATTCTTGCCAGCGACAAAATCACTGCTCTTCCCACAGAATCATAAGAGATAGTCCCTACCAGGATCAGAATTCAAAGAAAGAGGGATCAGTGGGGGAGGGGAGAAGAGGGGAGGCATGCAAAGGCAAGGGGGAAGAAATGGGATGTGACCTGCATCCAGGAGGATAACTAAGATTTGAATAAGAGAAAGGGCATTCCAGGGATGAGAAGGAAAAAGGAAGGATTGAAAATATTAGTATGAGCAAAGGTTTGGAGTAGAAGAGAGAATGATGGTTTGAAGGTACTGTGAAAAGACCTTCCTATACATGGATTGAGGGATTTGTATTGAGGAATAGCTGAAGAAAACTTTTAATGGGTAGGTTGGGGTCAGATTGCAGAGAGTTTTGAGTGCCAGTTGAGGAAATGGACTCTTAGGTTGTCAGTCTCTATAAGCTGAGGGCATATGAATATAGAAGAAAAAACTATACTATAAAACATATCAAAAAATTTTTAGTGAAAAGAAACCCCTCAAAGCCATATGCTACTGTATATGTAGGGGAAAGCTAGTGGCACAGTGGATAGAGTGCCCAGCCTTGAGTCAGGAAAACTCATCTTCCTGAGTTCAAATCTGGATTCAGACACTTCTTAGATGTGTGACCCTGGGCAAGTCACTTTACCCTGTTTGCCTCAGTAACCCTATCTGTAAAATGAGCTGGAGAAGGAAATGGCAAACCACTCTAGTATCTTTCAAGAAAACCCTAAATGGGATCATGAAGAGTCAAAAACAACTGAAAAATGACTGAACAACAATAACCACCACGTATATCTATGCAAATATGCTCTCTTAGACTGTCAATGTGACCTTAGATAAATCATTCAACTAAGGTCCCTCTTTAGGCCTCGGTTTCCTCATTTGTAAAATGAGGGGGTTAGACTGGATGGCCTCTGGGGTACCCCCAAGATCTAGATCTATGATCCCATAAGTCTAGGATTTCTGCCATCCTCCTCTTCTTCATTGTCAAGAGCAACAACAGATATTTCTGTACAGGCATATCTGTATCCATGGCTTCTGAACAACCACGAATCCAAAACTCGGAGGTGTGAGGCAAATATCAAGCTCCACAGATAATGATACCAGTCATGAGCCAAAGAATCGGGTAATCAGCAGGCCATTTTTCCAGCACAGACTATTTGTGGATCTCTGTGCTAAATTCTAGATACAAAGAAATATAAAGTTCTTGCCCTCAAGGAGTTTATATTCTACTATAGGGACACAACCCATTCCTGGAGGTGGTGGCCAGGAAAAGAAGCTTTGATCTAGGCAGTCAGAGGGGCTGTGAACGGAGCCATCTGGCAGTAAATTGTCATGTCCTTCCTATTAGCAATGGTAATGATTGAACACATGCATTAATGAATAAATGAAAAAGGATTTATTAAGCACTTACTATGTGCCAAATCCTGTGCTAAACAATAAGGAAGGAGGAGTAGGGTTAGGGAGAGAGAAAGAGAGAGAGAGAGCGCATGAAATGAATGGATGGAGGGATAGATAATCTTTGCTCTTGTTCTAATTGGGGGAGACAACATTTATGGGAGAATTTAGCTCTAGGACAAATGGAAAGATCCAGGGGTCTGTGGATTCCTGTGCTAGGGTAGATGGCAAGGCCCGGAGGGCCTTAGGATACATTTCTAAAGTAGATGGCAATGTGATGGTGAGGGTGGGGTAGGGGTGGAGAGGAAGGTTGGAAGGTATAATAGCTGAGCAGATGGTAAAGTCTGGTGGTCCTTAGGGAGCAATGACAGGACAGACGGTAAGGCCAGGTGGTCCTCAATCTTAATGGAATGTATAGTTGCTGCCTCTCTGATTTCTGAATTGTTGTGAACATCCATGTCCACCCTGTAGCTGGTAAGCTGGAAAAGCCTAGGCTCATAACTGTTGTGGAGGAAGGAGGCCTAAGAGTAGGAGAAAAGTGGGTGTTCTAGGCGCCTTCCTGTGGGGGTGGGATGAGTGTTCAGTAACCATTTGGGGTAGGTGGGGTTAGGGTGAGTGATGTTGACAGGAGGGTTGAGGAGAACAGAAGTTTCCAGTGAAATCTGAACAAGAGCAGGCTGGGGAAGGAGAAGGGATTCTCCGATTCCTATTCCCATAAATATCAATTCAATTAGTGTTTCTTGGTCAAGAGGCAAAAGGTGCATGTTTGGGGGTAGGGGTGGAGAGGAGAAATACATACATGGAAGCTGAGCAGAGAACAAAATGTCCATCCTGCTTAGTCCCAAGTGGCCTGGTGGATGGCCGGATGGAATGAAGCATGATCTGAGCACCTGAGGTCTGGCCAGAAATAGTGAGAGGGGGTAAGGGTTGAATCAACCTCCAATTCAGGAATCTTCACTCTGGAATAAGTCACAAAGCTGAGGAAATTTACTGCTTCCTTCTCCTATTCCCCACCACCCAGGCCTGCAAACCCCAGAGAACCTTCTTCACATTTAAGGAGAATGTGTAGGGAAAAAAGCATGTTTACATATGTATACATGAAGCTTTTTAGCCATACTTGCATACTGACAGCAACTATAATCAGAATCTTCATGTTAAAATACAAAGGCCATGTACATAGATACATAGGTCTCAACAACGGTGACTTGTGTTCATACTTGTTTGCTTCAGTGTAGCTCTCCACTCATGTCAGCATGAAGCTTGTATGTTCGTCTAATCTCATTGGTGAGAGACAGACAAGACATTCTATCTGGGTGATCCATGTCAGTGTTGACCCTTTAGTGGAAGTCTCTTCCCAGGCCAATTGAATGTCTCTGTCATTGATAGTGTGGTTGTGGCATAGAGGCAAATGAGGTGAATGAAGCCTAAGGGTATGAAGCAACTCCTTCCTGGGTGCATTTTTTGGCATGAAAGGTTAAAAGAATGATTATAGAAATTGCAGTTGAGGGAAAGAAATGAGAATGATCTTCTGGTACATGAACAAAAATGATTTATTTAGCAAATTAAGTCCTTATTTAATAACTTCTAAATTAATTGTGGTAAGCTGCATTTCCCTGACTCAGGGACTCAGTACAAACTCTGGGGAGTATCATTCATTACTAGTGCTCCACACCTAAAAAAAAAAAAAACAAAGCTATTGTTTTCCAATTACTTCCTGATATAAGAAATAATTCAAAAGGCAGTCATGTGGGGTTTAATTTTTCTCTCCTTCCACAACACAACCTCTTTGTAACTTCCTTTCAGAGTTTCACTTGTAATAAACCAAACCATCATTTTGAGCTCTCCATAAAATAAAAGGAACATACATTTGGAGGGAAAAGGCACATCTGAGATCATCCAGTCCACAGCCACCATGCATTTCACCCTGCACCAGGTCAGAAGGCTTTCAGACTCACTTCCTCAGGCCTCTGAGATATTTTTTCCCTTACCGAAGATGTCAGTAGAAGGTTGGCAATGGGAACAGAGGACAGTTAGAGGATATATGTGAAACATTTTGCAAACCTTGTAGCACTATGTAAATGTTAGTAATGAATGTTCAATGGAGAGCAGAGAAACTCAGAGTTGGGGGGGATGAATCAGAAAAAAAGATGTCACAGACGTCACCTACTAGACGACATACTAGCCAAAATCCT